TCTACTGGAAAAGTCCCGCGTGGTCCACCAAGATGAAGGCGAAAGGAACTTCCACATCTTCTACTGCATGCTTGCTGGCATTTCTTCACAGGACAAGGAGATGTATGGCCTCCTGGATCCTAGTCAATACCGGTGAGTCAGTTTGTGATGACGTGTAGCAGCAGCCTAAGGTGATAGGTGTAAGGCGATATTTCAGATTATAGTAACTGTGGTAAAAGACGTCACTTGTCGCAAGGTGGAAACTATTTCAGGAATTACACAGTCCAGATTTTATCAGTCTCTGTTTGTGTCAGGCCAGTTTGTCCCCGCCCCATAGTTCGGTTTCACTGTAGAGGAAGGCGTGGCTTTGTCGTCATGGTTTTTATTGCGTGTTGACGCACAATACGTTCTTGAGGCTTTTTATGGAATTTCTCTTTGTTTTCATTCCAGCTCCTTTTTATCTCCTCGTGACACAGTGCCCTGGCTCATGAATGTCTGCTTGTCTCTGTTCTAGTTACCTGAACGGCCAATTTGGCCAGGGTGATATGGTGCAGCACTGGAGTGAAAAGTACAATGAAGTGAGCAATGCCATGGATATGGTGGGCTTCGAGGAGCAGGTGAAACTTCTCTCCCCCCCGATGCACATAACAAGCTCTAAATCTAAATCTATCAGACTGTTCACACTACTCAGTGCTTACAAGTGCTCTCGCATGGCACTTTTTCAGGAAAAGGTGGACATGATGACTATCCTAGCCGGGATCCTGTCTCTGGGAAATATCACGTTCGAGCCGACTGAGAATGACGCCCTGAAAGTGAGCCAGACTTCACAGGGCTGGCTTAAAGCCACCGCGGTGAGTTGGCTCAGGAGTCTCACTAAAGAAAAATACCCTTGCACATGCTGTTCTAGGAAAATAATATCCGATGTGTGTGATGCGGCCGTCATGTTACCACCCCGAAGTTCATTAGTTTGCAATAACTGCACATTCCGAAATGATACCACAGCAATTATGGAACAATTACAGATTTTTCTTATTAAACAAGAACATTGTACTTTTAACCGTTTATAGTTATCTGTGAGACAAGCTACATTAAAGCAGCTATAATCAGTTTCCTCAGTACCATATCTCTCTCTCTCTCTCTCTCTCTCTCTCTCTCTCTCTCTCTAAGGTATTAAGACAAAAAAAAATTAACAATGAGAAACCGTCTATAACCGTCAAAAGCGTCTATAAACTCCTCTTTTTCATAAAGATGAATAAACTGATCTTGTTTGCTCCGCTTCAGAATATTTAACGTAACAGTACTTCATTTGATGTGTCTGTACCTTTAGTCACTTCACTTGTACAAAGTCCCTTGAATGAAGGAAACGAAGCAATCGCCGTGCTCGTTTTCAACACATCCTCCCAATCAGATCAGCTCCCGCCTCGTTTACGCAATACAGCTGCAATATTACACCAAGTTCCCCTCTCGACTATGGGTGTTTAATTTTTTATGCTTTTTAGATTAGTTGTGGAGCTGTGTTTTCTGTGCTCAGGCGTGGTCTTACAGAAGTGAGGAGTGGGTGAAGGAATACAGCTAGAGGATTTATCTCTCCTGCACATGCGTAGTAAAATAAACAGGCCCATTGTTTGCCTAAATGCCCCAGCTTGGACACAGACCTCAGGCCTGTATTCTGTATAGATGAAGGCTACGTAGCCACGCAACTGCCTCTCTTCCTGACCTGGTAACCAAACAGATGAATAATGGCCTGCTCTGTCACAATTAAGATCCTTAGAGCAAAGGTTGGGTTGTTGTCGCTGGCTACATCTGGCTGTTCATGATAAGATGGGAGGTGCCTTTAAACGTCACAAGTGGCTAAATTTAGACTGTAGCACATGATTTCCACATGACTACATATAACTGATCATTTATCGTGGTCTGAATCATCTGGTGACCTTTCCTTAAACTGTTTACACCACTTTCTGTAACTTTACTATACCTACGTTACTGATGATAAAGAGAGCATTCAGGCAGAAATGCGAATGTGGCCCATAGTGAAAAGAACGCTGTAATGCAAATGAACATTTGTTAACATAAACAGTTGCAACTAGATTTAGTTCATTGTTCAAAATGAACAATTGCAAAAGACTATGAGTAATGGCAGTTTATTAGCATGACTTCGACTTTACCTCTTTAACCCTACTCTTTAATCTGTTCATACCACGGTTATTATAGTTCAGAAAACCAAAACTGCGAGAAAGTAATAAAATTAAACGAACACAAAATTAAATAACTAACAAAATGAAAACTAAGAGAAACTAACTAGCATACCTGATATCCACTGTAGAATATGGTGCTGGATCATTAATACTTTGGTGAAAATTGTTGGGATTATGAATTCCATAATATTCATAATGTATCAGTAATATATCCGAATATACTAGAATATTTTTGCCCCAAACCTGGTTGCCTCTGCCAGAAGGTTATTTATTTTTGCTCATTTTTAAGATGTGCCTATAACTAAGCCCCCCACCCCCACCCACCCAGGTTTATTTTTTTAATTTTATTTATTTATTTTTAAACCTTCTTTTTTCCTGTGATTCCCTCAGGGTCAGTTTGGTGTTCAAGAAGAGGACCTGATGAGGTGTCTTACCTGCACTATGTCAGTAACAAGAGGGGAATCCATCCACCGCTTCCACAACCAGCAACAAGCAGAAGGTACAATTTCCTAACAGCTATGGTTCAATTTCATCACCGATGCTGCATTATTTTTTAAAAATATTTTTATTATATTTTTTTATGACGCTGCTGTTAAAACCTCACATGTATGCGATGACCAAAACGTCCATTTGGAAGAATGTGTTTAAAACACTTGGCCAGTTTATTACCTAGGATGATTTTTGTAAGGCATGACCATGCTAATGGGCAGTAATCAGTGACTAAAGCTTTTACAGGATTTCCCTAATCACCTGCGTCTGGTCTTCTTTCCTTTCAGATGCCAGAGATTCGATCGCCAAAGTGGTGTACGGCAGAGTGTTTGGCTGGATTGTTAGTAAAATCAACGAGCTGCTGACGCATAAACTGGATGCGAATGTTGAGCTGAGTGAAATAGGTAAATATTTCAGTGGGTTAGTACATGTTGGTCATGTTGAGGAAAAAAAACAGTGTAACCGAATAATTCTGTTTGAATTATAAGGGTTCATTTTCATATCAGGTCAAAGACAGGACCCAGTCATTTGGCCTGGTGTACCTCAAATAATCTAACAGCCTCCAGTGTGAATATTTTACATGCATGACTTTGCTATGGTAATGACAATACAAACGTTGTACTATATTTTCCTATTCATTTGGATAAGCAGCACAATCTACAAGGACTGGTACGAGTAAAAACAGACATACGACTTGTAATATGTAACGTTCTACCCAAAGCCTTGTTTTGACACATTGCAGGTATTCTCGACATCTTTGGGTTTGAGAACTTTTCTGTGAACCGATTCGAGCAGCTCTGCATTAATCTTGCGAACGAGCAGCTACAGTATTTTTTTAATCATGTAAGTACTTACACATACACACATGACCTAGGCACAGCGTTGTAGGCAGTAAATAAAGTGATCTCAGACCTGGGATATTTATGGTAGGTAATTAAGAGATAAATTAAGGGATATACACTCACCATCCACTTTAATAGGAGCACCTGTACACCTGCTCGTTTATACAGTTAGCCAATCAGGTTTCAGCAGCATCGTGCATTAAATCATGCAGCTACAGCTCAAGAGCTTCAGGTAATGTTCACATCAAACATCAGACTGGGGAATAAGTATGATCTCTGGGTGTTGAACCGTGGCATGGTTGTTGGTAGCAGATGGGCTGGTTTGAGTATTTCAGAAACTGCTGATTTCCTGGGATTTTCACACACACACTAGTCTCTAGAGTTTACACAGAATGGTGTGAAAAACAAACATCCTGTGTGCAGAGGGTCTGCAGGCTGAAACACCTTGTTGATGAGAGAGATCGGAGGAGAATAACCAGACTGGTCTGAGCTGACAGGAAGTCTATAGTAACTCAAATAAGCACTCTTTACAACCGTGGTGAGCAGAAAAACATCTCAGAATGCACAAAACATCAAATCTTGAGGTGGATGAGGTACAACAGCAGAAGACCACACCAGGTTCTACTCTTGTCAGCCAAGAACAAGAATCTGAGGCTATCATGGGCACAGACTCCCTGAAACTGGACAGCTGAAGCCTGGAAAAAGAGCTTTTTTTGTTTTTTAATCTTCAGCTGTCCAGTTTGGGTGAGCCTGTGCCCATGATAGCCTCAGATTCCTGTTCTTTGCTGACAGGAGTAGAATTTGATGTGGTATTTTGCTGTTGTAGCCCATCCACCTCAAGATTTGACGTGTTGTGCGTTCCGAGATGCTTTTCTGCTCACCACGGTTGTCAAGAACGATCGAGCTGCTATATCCTTCCTGGCAGCTCAAATTAATCAGGCCACTTTCCTCTGCCCTCTCTTATCAACAAGGCGTTTCCACCCACAGAACTATCAATGTTTTCTGTTTTTCGCACCATTCTGTGTAAACTCTAGAGTCTGTTGTGTGTTTCCCCATTCTGATGTTTGCTGTGAACATTACCTGAAGCTCTTGACCTGTATCTGCATGATTTTATGCATTGCACTGCTGCCACATGATTATCTGATTGGATAAATGAGCAGGTGTACAGGTGTTCCTTTTAAAGTGGATGGCGAGTGTATTGTCACGTGGTGAAAAGATGACCACCATGCACAATGATTAACATTAGTTTATGATTAGGACATTTACAACAGAATACAAGTATCTAAGAGAGAAAGACTAATATAAATAGTGTCGTGTAATCCAATTATAATACATAATACATCATACATCTATATAAGTTGTATTAATACTACATTCCTTTATTAATACATTTTGGATGGGTTCTCCATCTGACTATCTGAGATTCTTGTTAGCACAATATCTCAAAAACAAGTGGCTGAATGTTTGTAGGATTTATATGGAATTATTGTTGTGGGTCTGTGGAGGACTAGCGGTTAGGCAACGGCACTCCGACTGCCGAGGCCCGGGTTCGATTCCCGGCACACGACAGTGCACTCCCAGGGCCGGTCCCAAGCCTGGATAAAATTGAGGAGGGTTGTGTCAGGAAGGGCATCTGGCATAAAAAAAAAAACTGTGCCAAATCAAATATGTTAACCAGTGATCCACTGCGGTGACCCCTAACGGGAGCAGCCAAACGAAGATCTGGAATTATCATTGTAACCAACAGATGAGCTGATGACTCCGATTTTGGAATTGATCCAAACAGGATGAAGGTCACAGCAGGGTCAGGATGAAGAAATAGTTCTTCTTTAATAGCTTCCTTCATGTTTGGAGTATTATTTAAGGGTATTTCTGGCATACACAGAAGTAACAAGAAGGACTAGACTTGTTGGTGGCAGAGGCATCTCTATCCACGCTGCTGGCATCGAGTTCGACTTGTTCATTATTTTCTATTCCTTTGTTCACTATTATTGTTTGTTTGTCTATATTTTTTTTTATATTCTTTTGCTTTGGCAAAAGAATATTTTTTTACTAAATAGTCATGCCAATAAAGCATGCTTTGAACTTGAAAGAGAAACAAACACAAATGGGGGAGAGAGGGAGAGAGAGAGAGAAACATGGGAAAGCGAGAGAGAAACGCACGAGAGAGAGAGAGAGAGAGAGAGAGAGAGAGAGAAACATGGGAGGGAGAGAGAGAGAAATTCATAGAGAGACTGAGAGAGTGACTAACATAGCAGAGAGTGAGAGAGCAAGACATTAGGAAAGCATGAGAAACAGAAACGCATGGCAGAGAAAAATAAGAGAGAGAGAGAAACAGAGAAACACAGGCTTGATATCACAACCACTACATTGAGATTTGTGATGCAAAGCATTTTTTAATCACTACATACAAACAAAACATACAAGATACACAAAATATCTCAGAAACATAACATGCCCTCTCTAATGGCACTCAACACACAACCTATGCTTATGTATGCTTCTATAAAACCTGTGACGGGCTTCTACAGCCTGACCCTGACCTTTTTAATTGAGATTTTCTCCCAGTTGCCACACATGACATCATGTTTTACATTAATTTATTGCTGCTTCCTAAAGGAATTAATTCAGGAGTTTCTTCTTTCCTCAGCACATTTTTCTAATGGAGCAGAACGAGTACAAAGAGGAGGGCATCCAGTGGGAGACCATCACCTTCAAGGATAACAAACCAATTCTGGTAGATTCTCTCTCTTTTTTCTTCTTCTTCTTCTTCTGCTTCTCCCTTTTCCTTCATGTCTGTCTGAGACGGAGGCAGCAGAGACTTTGGCAGACAGGAGTTCTGTGGTAAATCCCAGGAACAGGAAATGCTGAGTGTGCGAACCGCGTCTACATTCTCAGTCGCTCATGCCTGCTCATTTTATCCCTCTCATATCGGTGTTCTACATCTTTCCTTTGCTAAGAGGCCATCGAACAGAATAAGGTCAACTCGTAAAGGTTACAGTCTGGGTGTGGGTCTTTTGGTTTTGTTATGGAGAAGCTTAAGCATGTCTCACATATGCCTAGGAAATATTAACCTTGGGCAGTAATTATGGCTGTGTGCCGCTGCTGCTCCTCCCTGAAGGAGCAAATTTATTTTGGGGTAAAGTGCACTACAGGAATCTACAGACTTTTTTCACTTTTTGAAGCATTAAATTACTCGTACAGTACACTGCCCAACCGTAGTCAAATAGATCACTGGATCTGTTAAATCAGGCGTTGTCAAACTTTTAGCAGACTATAGGTAGATTCAAATCTTAGTATAGATTACTGTGCTATTCAAATATCAGACTTATTGTTTAAATGTGTACAGTAATAGTTTGGCTATGTGTTGGAGCCATAGAGTTTTAATTCCTGAACTTTTCACTCACAGAACAATTTTTTTTTTTTTTTTTAATTAAAATATTCATTATTTATTATTGGTTTTTAAACCCATTCAATTCCTAAGTATCAGAGTAATGACTATAAGGACATAATAATAAATGTAATAACTCCTGATGATGTTGCGATGTGATTTTCACACTTGTTACAATTTTTTTTTTTTTAAATCACAGACCCCACGTCGAGAAGCATGGTGTTAAATAAATAACTCCAGTATAAATGATACGATTTTAGGCTATGAAAACGTAAAACAAATTAAAAACTGGCAGCAACAACAGCAAAAATAAAAATGGAAAAAGAGGGGAAAAAAAAAAAGCTCAGCTAATGCTATTCGCAGCTGCAATTCTGCCTTCAAGCAACAGAGTAATGATTAGCAAACGCTGTCTCCCTCAGGACCTGTTCTTAACGAAGCCGATTGGGATTCTGTCCTTGCTGGATGAGCAGAGTGCCTTTCCTCAGGTGAGCGGATGAGGTTAGAACCACACGTGATTCATTTGGGAGCAATGGATCATGCTTTTGTTTGCATACATCCTGGTGGCTTCTCGAGTCAAATTATCATTGTTGGATAATACTAGAGC